CATGCTAAAAAACCGAGCGAGGCATCTAAGGGCCATAAGGACCAGCTAGTCGACAGTCTAGCCTCGTGTTAAGTGGTATCAGAGCGAGCTTCGACATTAGACATGTTGTCTTCATAATAAAATGAAGTAACAGGGTCCAGGGGGTCGAGACCCGCAACACAAGAAAGAAAAGAAACTCTTCAAAAGATATCACTGCATCGTTCCAAGGTAAGATCGCTAAACTCGAAGACTCCGTGAGAAAAGCTAGTTAGGTGTTGGATCGATTGGAATCCATCGACCTAGAAAAGCTAAGCTCCCTGGATCTCGAGAAGCTTGAAGCCTTGGAGAATATCCAAGAGGATGTGCTGGCTATATTCAATGGATTAGATGCGAAGAGTTCCCAACAAGATGATGCTCTGGAAACCCAAATTCTGATCATAACACAATAGTTCAAAGAAATTAAAAACCAGGGTTCTAGAACTGAGGTTGAAAACCTGAAGAATGAGATTGAGCAACTCAAGATCGAGTTGGCATTGTGCAAGGTTGTTGTGGCTAGTAGCATGCTAACAAACTCTCCTAAAGGTCGGACTGAAGTCCCTAAACCAAAAAAGTTTAAAAAGACTAGGTCAGCCAAAGACATTGAAAATTTTATGTGGAACATGGATCAATACTTTAAAGCCATGGGCATTACTGAAAAAGTAAACATTTTTTTACCTAATTGATTTAGCACTCTTATGGTGGTGACGTAAATGCACCGAGATGAAACGAGAGGGCATCACCATTGGAACCTGGCAGAATTCCAAGCGGAGTTAAAAGAGCCATTTCTCGAGTTAAGCCTACAAGTCCCGAGCCTAACCAAAGAGAACGAGTTCTTCACTTCATGGATGTATTAAAACCATGGACCAAAAATGAGTTGGAAAGAAGGGGTGTCAAACAATTGTTTAAAGCATTGACAACCACCGAATCCCTCATCAAACTTGGTGTTAAGAAATACAAGCCTCCAAAATCAAAAGTTGAGGGTCCTAATAAGAGAAACCAAGATGAAGGCCAAGAATAAAGCCTATCAAATGATGATGAGGAACCTATAAAAGGCAGATCTTCAGATGTAACAAGTCAAAAGAGAAGGGGGACATCCAATCGATTTGCTACTTCAATTGCCATGAATAAGGAAACTTTGTAAGAGATTTCCCCCACACTGAAAAACTCGCAACTATTTCCTAAAAAGACAACGATTCAGAGGAAGAAGTATGTAAACTTAGCTTAATTACAAGTGTTAAGTCGAGGGTAAGTTTTAAGAGAAGAAAGGATCACCAAGGGAGAGGACCATAAAGGGTACAAAATTATCCACTCCAAGTCACACAACGTAAAAACTAAAAACAAGGGTTAATGTACGTGAACATCATTTTTTCCGGACAATCCAAAGTTTCCCTCGTGGATACAAGGGTAATCAATTTATTCATAAAAAAAGGGTCATTGAGGATCATGGACTCAAAATTAAACCATCAAATGGAGCAATCAAGACCATCAACACTAAAGAAGTTACAATCTTTGGAATGGCGCAGAATGTATAATTGAAGATTGGAGGATAGAAGGACAACATAGACTTCATGATAATCCCCATGGATGACTTTGATTTTGTCATCGGGTTGAACTTCCTTAGTCGGATCAAAGCCTCTATCATTCCCTGTGAAAATGTCATGAGCATCATGGATTCCCGATGTCAAGATAGTGTCCTATTGATACAATGTGATCAAGAAGAGACCAAGACCTTAACAGTTATTTAACATGTCAATAATGCTCCAAAAAAGGTGAAAACCACCTTGTAAACTACTTTTAAAGCCATAAAGCAATCCTAGCGACAAGGGCGACACTAGAACAAGTGTGGGAGAATGTCACGGATCAGGAACTTATAGGCGAGATCGACCCACAATTGACTACCCATGGGGATGGAACCAGTACAAGGCAGGTTGCTTTCGCTGTGGTACCGAGACCAACACCCACAAGGGTGCGACTGACGCAGCCTAGGCGGCCCACAAGGGTCATATTGAGACCAAGGTGCACACAAAGCCTAATAGGGCCAAGACACGCCTGCCCCAAATTACCCATAAGCATGGCCATCAAACAGTAAGGGTTATCTAGGGTCGTGACCACCGCACACCGAGGTACACCTAGAGCCTAGGCCAACACACGACAAGGTCAACCGAGGGTTCTAAACAGCAAGTAACGGGACATACTTGGGGTTGAGGCTAACGTACACCAGATGTGCACCTAGAACCAAGATGTATGTACAAATAGGGCCACTTGGGGGCTAGGTAGCACATATCAAGGGCACACAGGGTCGAGGTTGCGTACACCGAGGTGCACTAAGTGTCGAGGCCAGTACCGACTTAGGGCCTTTACACATAGTAAATCCGACCATTCCTTAGAAAATAAAAGCATAGTCATGAGATGTTTGAATAGGACTCAAACATTAGAATTTCAACTAAAGTAAATAGTTTTACTTGTAGTTAGATGAGGAATAGTCATGAGATGTAAGGAGACTTCATTATAAAAGGAGGTCTACCTACCTCCATTATACATAGAGAGTTTTGTGTTAATAAACTCAGTCATTCGTGCAAGAAATTTCCCCACACATGCTTACTTACGTTTTTTATTACTTTTCCATCATGCTTATCGCTATAGCAACATTAACCGAGGAGTTTAGGATGACTTAGATGCTGAGCAATCGAGCGAGATATCTAAGGGCCGAAAGGACCAGCTAGCTGACAGTCTAGCCCTGTTTCAAGTGGTATCAGAGTGAGCTTTGACGTTTGACGAGATGGCTTCACAACAACATGAAACAGTAAGGTCCGCGGGGTCGAGACCCGCAACACAAGAAAGAAAAGAGGCTCTTCAAAAGACTATGTAAAAGAAGCTAGGGAGGTATTAGATCGACTGGAATCCATCGACCTAGAAAAGCTAGGGTCCCTGGATCTCGAGAAGCTTGAAGCCTTGGAGAATATCCAAGAAGATGTGCTGGCCATACTAAATGGATTAGATGCGAAGAGTTCCCAACAAGATAATCTGGAAGCCCAAATCCTGACCATAACACAAGAGCTCAAAGAACTTAAAAACCAGGTTTCCAGAACCAAGGTTGAAAACCTGAAGAATGAGATCGGCAACTCAAGACCGAGGTGGCCTTGTGCAAGGCTATCGTGGCTGATAGCATGCTAACGAACGCTCCCAAAGGTCAGACCGAAGTCCCTAAACCATAAAAGTTTAAAGGGACTAGGTTGGCCAAAGAAGTTGAAAATTTTATCTGGAACATGGATAAATACTTTCAAGCCATAGGCATTATTGAAAATGTAAACATTGTTTTTGTTTACCTAACTAATTTAGCACTCTTTTGGTGGCGACGTAGTTGCACCGAGATGAAATAAAATGGTACCACCATTGGAACCTGACAGAATTCCAAACAGAGTTCAAAGAGCAATTTTACCCTTATCATGCAAAGAATGAGGCATAATCAAAACTAAGGCGTCTTAGGCAAGAATGATCTCTGAAAGCACGTTCAACAATTTATCGAGTTAAGCCTATAAGTCCCGAGCCTAACCGAAGAGGACATGTTCTTCACCTTCATAGATGGATTAAAGTCGTGGGCTAAAAATGAGTTGGAAAGAATATGTCAAATAATTATTTAAAGCATTGACGACCACCGAATCCCTCATCGGACTTGGTGTTAAGAAACATAAGCCTCCAAAATCAAAAGCAGAGGGTCCTAATAAGAGAAACCAATATGAAGGCCAAGAACAAAGTCTATCAAGTGAGGATGAGAAGCCTATAAAAGGCAAATCTTCACATAACAAGTCAAAAGAGAAGGGAGACATCTAATTGATCAGCTGCTTCAATTGCCATGAGTAAGGAAACTTTGCAAGAGATTGCCCCCACACTGAAAAACTCGCAACCATTGCCTGAGAAATAACGATTCAGATGAGAAGTATGTAAACTTATATTAAATATAAGTGTTAAGCCGAGGGTAAGTTCCAAGAGAAGAAAGAATCACCGTGTGAGGGCACTACAAATGGTACAAAATTATCCACTACAAGTCACACAAGATCAAAACCTGTAGCAAGGGTTAATGTACGTGGACATCAATCTTGTCAGACAATCCAGAGTTAATCTCGTGGATACCAGGGAAATCGATTTATTCATACCAAAAAGGGTCATTGATGATCATGGACTCAAAATTGAACCATCAAAGTGAGCAATAAAGACCATCAACACTAAAGAAGTTTTAATATTTGGAATGGTGTGGAAGGTAGAATTGAAGATTGGATGATGGAATGACAACGTAGACTTCATGATAATCCCCATGGATGACTTTGATTTTGTCATCGGGTTGAACTTCCTTATTCGGATCAAATCCTCTATCCTTCCCTGTGCAAAAGTCATGAGCATCATGGATTCCCGATGGCAAGGTAGTGTCATGTTGATACAATGTGATCAAAAAGAGCCAAGACCTTAACAATTATTCAACATGTCAAGAATGCTCAAAAAAAGGTGAACACCACCTTGGGAAATACTTTTAAAGCCACAAAGGAAACCTAGTGACAAGGGCATCGCTAGAACAAGTGGGGGAGAATGTCACAGACCGTGAACTTGTAGGCAATGTCGGCCTACAACTGACTACTCGTAGGGCTCTAACCAGCACAAGACATGCTTCTTCTGCTTTGGTGCCGAGACCAACACCCACCAGGGTGCGACTGACGCAGCCTAAGTGGCCCTTGTGGGCTATACAGAGACCAAGGTATACACAGAGTCAAATAGGGTTAAGACACGCCCACCTTAATTACCTGCAAGCATGGACATCAAATAACAAGGGTCGCCTAGGGTCATGACCACCGCACATCAAGGTGCACCTAGATCCGAGGCTAACGCACGACAAGGTCAGCCGAGGGCTCTAGCCAATAAGTAATAGGATATACTTAGGGTCGGGTCTAACTCACACCGAGTATGCACCTAGAACCGAGATGAATGCACAAATGGGGCCACTTGGGGGACGAGGGCAGCACACATTGAGGGCTCTCAAGGCCGAGGCCTGTGCACACCGAGGGTGCACTGAGGGCTGAGGCCAGTATCGACTTAGGGTCTGTCCACCTAGAAAAACTAACCATTCCTTGGAAAATAAAGCCAAATAGCATAGTCCTTGTTTGAATAGGACTCAAACATTAGAGTTTCAACTAAAGTAAAGAGTTTTACTTGTAGTTAGATTAGGAGTAGTCATTAGATGTAAGGGGACTTCATTATAAAAGGAGGCCTCCCCACCTCCATTAGACATAGAGAGTTTTATGTTAATAAACATAGGCATTCATGCCAAAAATTTCCCCACACACGTTTACTTATGTTTTTTATTGGAATTCTATCGTGTTTATCACTATAGCAATATTAACCGAGGAGTTTAGGCTGAATTAGACGTCGAGCAATCGAGAGAGGCATTTAAGGGCCACACGGACCAACTAACCGACTGTCTAGCTCCGTAAAAAAAATACTCTCGCCTACCGTAAAGTCTTTATCAAAAATCATTTTATTTTTGACGTGTCCATATACACCACACTAATGAACAAAATAAAATATCTCAATTCTCTATTTACCAACAAAAGTATGTTCTTGATTTATTGGCTGAAACTGGCATGCTAGGTTGTATACCTGTCGAAACCCCAATGGAGTTCAATTCTAAGCTAGGCAATGATGATGATGGGGAAGAAGCAGACAGGGGGAGATACCAGCGACTCGTGGGAAAATTTATTTATCTATCTCACACCCGACCTGATATTGCATTCGGGGTGAGTGTCATCAGTCAGTATATGCATGCTCGAAAGGAAAAACATTTGGAGGCAGTTTACAGGATGCTAAGGTATTTGAAGGGAACAACGAGTAAAGGTCTTCAATTCAAGAAAAATACCAGTTGTGACATAGAACTTTACACTTATGCAGATTGGGCAGGATCAGTGAGTGACAGACGATCTACAAGTGGTTATTGTAGCTATATGTGGGGCAATCTTATGACATGGAGAAGTAAAAAACAGTCTGTTATGGCTCGTAGCAGTACAAAGGCAGAATATCGAGCTTTGTCTCATGGTATATGTAAGGGAATTGGTTACAAAGATTAATGAAGGAACTAAAAGTATCTTATGTTAAACCTATGAAGGTATATTGTGATAATCAAGCTGCTGTCAGTATAACACATAACCCAGTTTATCACGATTGGACTAAACACGTGGAGATGATCATTATTTCATCAAAGAGAAGGTAAATTCAGGAGAAGTTTGTATCATTTATCTTCCTACTAAGCAACAAGTTGCAGACTTGCTAACTAAAAGTATGAGTAAGAATGTGTTTGAAGATTTTATTTGCAAGCTGGGATTGATAAATATCTATACACCAGCTTGAGGGGGAGTATTGGAAATCCTAGAATTAAGGAACTCAATCTTCTTCTTTATTTTTAGGAGTTAACCTAGTGTAAATATGTCTCTAATTGTAGTTCCTAATTTTTAGGGATACTTTCCTATTTTTTGTACTAATCATTTCTTTAAAGTTGTAATCTGCTGTTAAGAAATATGAGAATCATTTTTTCTCAAAACTGTTCAGAAACATGTAGCCTCACCAAGTCCTTCTCCTGACTTGATTACTTGGACACTCGCAATCATATCGAACTTTCCTCTGGGTTCGGCTGCCTCAACATCAACAGTCGTATCTCATCTTGTACTTTGCTTGACTACATTGACCCTCTCAATCGGACCAAGTCTTTACCTAGCTTGGCAGCTTAAACACTTGTGACCACGCCAATTCCCATTATTTCTCCTTCTTCATCCTCTTTATGATGGTTGCAAGGCGATGCTTTTCTGGACATCCTCTAATCAAGTGAGGACCATCACAGAATTAACACTTTAGTTTTTTCTTACTCGCTTTCTTGTTCACACCAGACTTAGCCTTGTCATTCTTTCCTGATGGCTTTCACAGGCTACGAACAGTCGATGGCTCACCTTAGCCATTTGAAGAGTTTCCTTTACCATCTCCCAGCTACACCTTTTCCCGGTCTCCCCCACTATTTTCACTATCCCTGGGCATGGGCCTGGATGACACAAAACTAGTTGGCTTGTCTCCCGCAAGCTCGGTCAGCTTTCCGGCTACAACTATGGCCTCCAAAAGTCTCTGGGCATCTCCTTGCTCTCCCCCGAGCATCACCCCTTGTCTAAGTCCCTTCAAGAAGGTCTTGAGCACACCCCAATCACTCATTGCTCCCTTGCATATGAGTAGCTCCCTCTTGAGCTCATCCACCTCATTTCTCAAAGCCATCACCTCAGCTTCATGGGTATTACTTCCTTGAACCATCTCCAACTCGTTGAGAACTCGGTGCGTCTCATCCTTGAACCTATCCTCCATGGACTCCAATCTATCAACGCGGGACTCCATAACACCCTGGGTCTCTTTGACCTCTTCCTCGACTTTTTCAAGTCTCCCGACCCTCTTTTCCCATAAAGTTGAGATCTACTCCAACTTGATGAGCCTCTCTGCGTGGAAAGCCAAACATTCCATCAAATAAGCCCATTTCTCGTACATTGTCAGTTCCTCTTCTTGTTCCTCATCAAGACTCTTCTCATCTTCACGAGTGAACGTGTTGCCTTGCTCGAACACGCCTTGAGCTCCACCATTGAGCCTCTCTACCTTGAGATCTAGCTCATCCTGGTGTGTTTGTGTTGCCTCATGTATTGCTTGTGAACTCATCACGACATCCCATGGTTGGACACCGATGATGCTCTCGAGCTCGTCAGACTCTTCTTGTTTCCCACCATAGCACTCTTTGCCTTTGTTTGTGGAAACTCTTTTTCTCTTGTGCCCCATCTCAATTAACTTTTCCACGAACTAGCTCTATTCACCATTGACTAGCTCGAGCGCAAAATCTTTCCAACTCAATTACCAAAGTAAATTGACTGGACAGTAAGTAAATCAAACTTACCTGGTCTCGCACCTTCCACCAAACCGTCGGAATATCAGAGTTAAGGTCTGATAGGGCATGCGGCCTTAGACGCTTTTTGGTCTTCTCTGTGACTAAGTAAGCCTTACCCAAGCCTAGTGAGAATGCAACACAAAGGTTGGAATCAAGCCCTCAAGACTTCTAGGATTGTGGAAGCTTAAACACCAACGTGGCTACTCCAAGCCACCAAGGTTGGCTTATCATGTGAAAGTGCAAACACAAGTGTAGCTACTCCTGACCACCAAGCTAGGCAACAACACAAAGAGAATGAAGACCAAAGAACACTGAAAGTATAGTAAATGTCTAAGAGCATTATTACTCTCTCCCCAAGAGAATGGAGGAGTGAATGAAAGAATGGATGATACAAATGAGGATGAGAGACTGTCTATTTATAGTTGAGCTCCCTCTCAATCAATGGCCCAGATCATTTTATATCAACGGCTAAGATATGCCAATTAATAACAAATACCATAAATCAAGGAGCTACAACCAAATCCTACCTAATTACATCCATTAGTAGGATTCTTTTCTTGGATAGGTGTTCACACTGGATATGGTAAGATTCTCCCACAACATCTTCCTGATTTTATTGTCTCTTGCCATATTTACCGAGCTTCTGTGGTCATCATCGGATATGATGTCACTTTCTTTTTCTACACAACCAATGTGAACGGGTCGAATTCCCGTTGTATAATGTCTAAACCAAATTCTGCCGCACATTCTCCCAAACAATTGAGAGGCCTCTCCATAAATGAGAATACTTGTCAAAAACTCTGTATTTAGAGCAAAGTACCCGAGCCCAAAGTTGAGAGCGATAGGTAATTAAACGAAACGCCATCATAAGGAATGATTTGCTCGCCCATACCTCTTCCACTTACGAGATGCATTCCCTGTCGTTCAGTAGTGTCACCCGAAACGAAGTTAAGAATTAGACGTTCAAGCTCATAACAAATCTTCTTTGGGAGATAATTTGTCTCCATGGTGTACTGAGGGACAGCTACTAAAACAGCTTTAGCTAATGTGATTCACCTGGCCAAGGAAAGATGCTTGGTCTTCCAACCCGTTAACCTATCTTGAACCCTTTGAAGATGTAATTACACATGACATGCGAAACCCGATCATGGAGAAGAGACGCCCCAAATATTTACCCAAATTCTCCACGCGAGAAAACTGAAATCCATTGCTGATGTCAATCCGAAGTTTCTCTTCCACGTTCCTAGAGAAACAAATATTGGTTTTTGACAAGCTAACTTTATGTCCAGAAGCTTGATAAAATTTAACAAGAATATTTTTAATAACTCCAAGTTAAGAAGGCGAGGCTTTCACAAATAATACAAGATCGTTTGCAAAAAATAAGTGAGATAACCCCTAGAAATCTTGATCGGTTTCCAAATTCCCTGTTCAACAACTCTCTGGATAGTTTGTGCAAGCTATTCCATAAAGAGGACAAATATACGGCGGCGGAGGATCCCTTTGACGAATTCCCTGAGAAGGATTAAAACTATCCATCTGCTGACCCTTCCAAAGAACTTGGGTTGAAGCAGTAGTAATACAACTCATGATTAAATGACGCATAGTAACAGGTAATCCCAGATCAGATAAAATATCCTCAATGAACCATCATTTTAACCTATCGTATGTTTTCTTCGAGTCCACTTTAATTACCATCGACCCCTTCCGTCCTTGTTTTTTCTTCATCGAATGTTTAATATTTGCAATAACAATATTATTAGTGATGCATCGGTCAGGCATAAAACTCTTTAGGTCTCCATGATCCACTTAGGAAGTAAAGGCTTCAGACGAGCAATAATAATCTTCTTGATTATTTTAAACATGATCGTACGCAAACTTGTAGGACTGAATTGAGTGAAATTCTCCAGAACCACTACCTTCGGGATGAGTACAAAAAGAATATGACTAATGTCTGCAAGGATCTCTCCACTTTAAAACAGCACTGCACAAATCTGTATATATTCTCCCCCATAGTCTCCCAATTCTTTTGGAAAAAAGCTACATGCATGGAATCCATCTACCCCAGGAGCTTTGGAATGATGCGTGTCAGTGAGTACGGTTTTAACCTCCTCATTATTAACGCCTTTTGACAAAGCTTATAATGTCTCCCAGGAGAATTCAAAGAAATTTCCCCTTATGTTATACAAAAACGATAGATCCTCTTATGTGAATAAATTGTGAAAAAAAATCCACATCCTCTTTCCTTAACCGAGGTTGGTCAAAACACCAAGAATCATCATCAAGTTTCATAGAAAGTATAGCATTCTTACGCCTTTTTTGCTTAGCGAAAGCATGGTAGAATTTAGTATTACAATCCCCTCTAAAATCCAAACACAGCGAGACTTTTGTTTCCAAAGCCTCTCCTCTTGCTCCAATACCACATCCAACTACAATTTCAGCTTCGCTTCCAGTTCTATCAAATAATTTGAATCACGCCAAGCGAGAGCATTATTGATGCCTCTTAATCTAGCCAGTAAGGATTTCTTCTTCCAATCAATTTCTCCAAAACTATTCACATTCCAAGCCATCAGTGATTCTTTAAAGGAGACTAGGTTCTGCCAAGTATTTTTCTCACTCTTCCAATAAGACCGAAGCAAAGTAACTTTGGATGGTCTTGCCATGAGAATAGAAACCAAAATAGAGGGTTCATCCTCCCTCTCATCCAAGTGAAAAACGTGACTATCGGGGAAACATTGTGGCCATCCTTCGTTAGCTAGGCATCTATCTAATCATTGATGCAAAGAGCCCCTAGACCAAGTGAGTTGCGACCCATGAAACCCAATAACCATCAAAGCCATATCAAGACAAACTGACAAAAACCCCGACTAGGAGACCAACAACCCATCACTCCACCCTTGAGGTCATCAATATTTAATAGAACATTAAAATCACCCTGAGTAACCAGGGGTGATCCCTTCCCGGGTCCAAAGCTCCGACATAGAAGGGTTAGCATACACCATGGTAATAAAAATCGGCTTCGGCAATTCATTATGTGGAACCATCACATGAATAAACTGATTTGAAATTCGAACAAATTCAACCCTCACATCTGGTTTCCATAACAACTAAATATCACCACTAAAGCCATATGTCTCAACCCGAAAAGAGTTTGAGAAACCCAAC